CAGCCACTCGTCCCCAAGCCTGTAGCGCTGCGTGGGGTTGTGGTGACCCAGGGACAGAACCTGGCACTTGGCCTTGTTGATTCTTACACAACTGACCTCATCCTATCAACCCAGACGGTCCAGATCCCTCTGTAGAACCTCCGTACCCTCCAGCACATCATCAGATCAACACGGGCATCCCCCATGCACACCCAAGCTGTTGCCATTTGCTTTCTGCAGCAGCGGGTGAGGACAGCTTTTTAAATTAATTCAGACAGGGAAGTAGCGTTTGCTACCACACAGCACAATTTCAGTAGGACAGAAGTTACCATGTGTGGAATAGTGGCTAAGGGAGTAGGGTTCCACGTGGTTGATGTGCTTGGGTTTGCTTGGTTGGGTTGATGTGCTTGGGTTTCCTTGGTTGGGCTGATGTGCTTGGGTTTCCTTGGTTGGGTTGATGTGCTTGGGTTTCCTTGGTTGGGTTGGTGTGCTTGGGTTTCCTTGGTTGGGTTGATGTGCTTGGGTTTCCTTGGTTGGGTTGATGTGCTTGGGTTTCCTTGGTTGGGTTGGTGTGCTTGGGTTTCCTTGCCACTTTGTTCCACCAGGAAGTTTTTTCTCTGTAGGCTGAGTCCACTGCACGTCTGGTTTTTTGGATGGAGTTCCTCCAAAGCCAGGATTTCCCACTAGGTTAGCAAGTGAAGAACCGAGGTCATTTGCCAGAATTTTCCTGCTTTGCTGGCTGGCTAACGTGGCTCTTTGACTTTGTGGCGGTACCGTGGGTTGCGATACGTCATCCCTTGTAGTCCTGTGCTCTGGTGCTGCAGAGCGGTCGGTCGGTGATCGGGCTGTTGGGGGGGACAGAAGAACCCACCGCGTTACAGCCAACACTGCCACCCCTCTGGCTGGTGTAAGGCTCCTCTCCTTTCCTCGTGCAGCTTCTCTGTGTATCATCGTGCCACGGTGAAGCTTTCCGTCATGGGGACGGTTCTTGCCCCTCGAGAAAAAAAAGACCATTTGTGATTTCCTGAAGCTCAGCACCAACATGCAGCAAGGCTGTCACGGTCCGTCGATCCCACGTCATGCACGGGACAGCGATCAAAGTCAGGAGGAATAATTTGACTTAAAAGGGGGAACAATAGAGTCGGATCGGTTCAAAGGAGAGGATTTCAGTTCTGGAAAGATGAAGAGAGCTCAGTAGTTGTTGGGTTGGCAGGAGAAATGAAATCTTTAAATGCTCTGGAGAAGCCTGAACAGTTGCAAAGGTTCAGGCAGGGGTGGGTGATTCCCAGTTTGGGCGCGGGCAGTAACACTGTTTAAGCTGTTTGTGAGCTGGGCGCTGGTGTCAGCGGTAGGAAATTGCTGCCACATGGTAGCTCTGCAGTTCTTGAATGGAACCTTTAATTGTCCTCATTATTAATTGCCTTTTTCTTTCTTTTTTTTCTTCTTTTTTCCTTCAGCATGAAAGACTTTCCAGGTAAGAATTTTATTTTGAGGCGTTTTTTTCTATTTAATATGTGGGGTTTTTTCTATTTAAAATTTATTGACAGAGTATTTTTGTATGGCTTTGGGGATTCCCTGTGCTTCACATCAAGAGCACAGGCCAAAGCTGGTGCTGGCCATTTGGTTCTTACCTTTCCCAGCTGTTGGGCCAGTTTCCTGTCATCCCTTG